CCCAATATTCGGTATTTTGATAATTTTAGCGACATCATTCACCGGAGTTGTTTCAAATTTCGTATTTAGAGTTCATAATGGATACTACAGCCTATGACAGAAAATTGTCTATGCAAATTCAGGTCTTCGTATAAGCCCCATATAACGGTACCTCCCATTATTTGGTATTTTGACGATTTTAGGTACAATATTCACCGAAATTATTTGAGATGTCGTATTTGAAGTTCGTAATGGAAGCTACATCGTGTGCCAGAAAATTGTCTATACAGGTCCAGTATAGCTCCGATATAACGGTACCTCCCTATATACGGTATTTTAATGATTTTAGCTACATTATTTACCGTTTATTTCAAGTTTCGAATTTGAATATGGTAATGGCTTATGACAAACAAGGCCAAGGTCCACGTCGTATAGACCCCAATATAACGGCTATATTCGGTATTTTTAAAATTTTAACAGCATTTTTAACGGAATTTACTTTTTGAAAATGTCCAAAATCGTTCCAAGTGGTGGCCCTAAAATTTAAGGTATAATTCTTAATATTTAGGATAGAGCTTTGAAGTGTAATAAAACCCTGTAGATTACATACAGAATCACTGATACAGAAAATGGGCCATAGCGCATTTTGGTATAGCCCCCATATAAAAATATCTCTGATTTCAAGTATCTTTTATGTTTTCCTTTTAATTTCACCAAATTTTGGTATTTTAAGTTCTTATTATGTAGAAACGCTAATTAATATATTATTGCTTCTCGTACTCTTGCGGCTCAAATTTCCAAAAATCCCTCCTTATCCCATCTCAGCATGGAGCTCTGACTTATAGCACAATAACAATGCAATGTAATTTTCATTCTTTTCGTACCAATATGTCAGGAACTATTTATTCCCTCAAACAAATTTTCGAAGTTCTCCCTTTTATAAGATGTCCAATGGTATTGTTGTACTATTTTGTTCCTTCTCGTACTATATTTGAAAGCTCCTCTCTACCTCACTACTCCGAATGAAGGGTGACTCTCAACCAATGTTTAGAAATGCTACGTCATACCGGTTGCTGATTAAAGATGATGCAGAATTTCCGTGCTTTGGTAGCCTATTACTATCTTTCGTACACAGACAATGAGATTCTTTGAAAATCCCATGTTATCTCACGCTTTCATATCAGAAATAATAACAATGGAAATTTTCAGTTTTCTAAGTTTCGATCATGGCCGTTAATGGTATGAAATATGTGAATATATAGTCACTCCCGTCCCTGCTAAAGAGCCACCGGACAACTCGATATAAATTCAAATTCGAAACACACAAGCCACACAAAAAAAAAACAATAATATCACTGTTCATAGCAATTTATTCCTCTTGCATGATATGTGGTTTTTTGCTACGAACGATTTGTCTGTGGGCGCGTAAGATCATTTGTTTGCTTCAAGATTTTCTAACACTGATTAATACCGGGGCAGGCCAGGCACCTTGCCATTCGTTGCGGATCTCCATTGTCAGCATCATCGGCAGCAGCATCATCATCATCGATGTTGTTGATAACTACTTAAGACCAAATTAATATCTGATACATTTAAATTTGAATTAAACTCTTTTTTTGTGAAGAAGCATTGAAATTATTAATTGTTAATTTATTCTACGCAACACAAATACACATACACGCGCGTGCTCTCACAGAAAAAAAGAGAAGAAGCCAGCGATCAACACGTTTTATTTATGCCGCAATACAATGTGTATCTGGTGAATTATCTATGCCATAGATTTTGTATCTTAAATGAATTTTTCGGAATTTCATTTCCGACATAATGACTGTTGTTTATAGGAAGAAGAAGAAGAGGAAAAAATTGAATGCAGACAATAAATTGTCAATAATAGTATTTATGTTTTAAATTCAGATGTACATAAATTTCAAAAAAACTACATTTTTGAGTGTTGTACGAGCATTTTAAACATAACAAAGTAGGTGGTAAGCAATGTTGAGATTTTTTTTTTACAAAAGTTCTACTTCTTTAAACACGCTTTTAGCACAACAAGGCCAACGACTCAAGATATTGTTTCTCTGTTCAGAAATTACAGAATTTCGGACCGGAAACCATAACGGGATTTTCTGGTCTGCTGAGGTAAGCTCAGGTGTATCCAGGGTCTCTATAAGGATCTACTTAATCTTTTGAAATATGAAAAATTGAGTTCTCCTTTTCACAGGGGGATTGTTGCGCAGTTGAATACTTTGTGGTGGACAAACGGATAAATATAATGAAGCGGTTTTTAAAATTCGAACCTTAAGATTACGAAAAGTATTAAAATGTTACTAAACTTTTAAAAAGGTACTATTCGGTATTATGTGATAAAGCTAAAAACTTGAATTTTTGTACTAAGTGTGCGAGCTTTACTAAATAGTACTAGATTTGGAACAGTGCGCTTTAAGGTAAATGGATGAAACTGAAATTTTGAAATTCTCTCTGAAATTTCATTTGCTGATGGTATTTGTGATTAGCAAGTGGTTTTAGTATTCGGCGAACAGATAATGCTTGAAATGTGAAATTTGATATTAGGGTCGCTGTTCAGGTGTAGCTTGCTTTGGAAATGTGTACTATAATTGTGTGAAAAGTACTGAATATTATATATTTGGGTGAAGGAATGGAGCTTTTAGTTGTTAAGATGTGGAGGTGGTATTGAAAATCTGTGCTATAATTGTTCGAAATGTACTGAATGGTACAAAATTGGGTGAAAACATAGAGCTCGAATTCCGAAATTAGATATGTTAACAAATTTTATTTTGGGTGAAGAGATAGAGCTGGAATCCTGAAATTTCGATATTAAGGTCTCTGTTGGTATCTGGGACTGAGCTATGGAACGGTTTTGCAAATGCCTACTATAATTGTTCGGAAATTACCAAGTCTTACTCTTTTATATCCCGAATGGAGAAATGTAGATTGTTTGGCAATGCGTAAAAAATGTTACAAAATTTGGGTGAAAGTATAGATCTGATGTTAAGGTAACTCTTCGAAATAGTTTTGGACATAAAACTTGGATGTGGGTCCATTGACGGTTTGAAGGTAATCGGGAAATGGTAAACTATCGTCGAAGGTTGACAAGTAAGGGAGACCAACAATTACGATGCTAGCGTTCGGATTAATGTTAGCGTTCGGGATGCTGACGAAGATATTCCGGAATATTAAGGGATGACAGTCGAAGCTGATGACGGTAAATAATAAGGGTTTATGACGTTAGTGTTCGGGATGCTGATGCCTAGGTCTTCTGAGAATTATCGGGAACTCGTGGCATAATAGTTCAGGTTTGGTAGCTCCCTGTAGAGATATGTGGGAAAAGTTATCAAGGTCGCTTCAGATCGACCGGGGACTGTCAATGTCATCTGGGAAAGATCAGAACTAGTTGTATTTGGTGCACAATTAATCCGAAATCGGCTGAAGATATATATGGGAGCTATATCTAAATTTGAACAGATTCTCACCGATTTAAATAGGCTTAGTCAAAAACTAAAAAATTCTCGGCAACAGTAGAATCTTCTCTTTTGAGATTGAAGCATGCTCTCTTTTTGTTGAAAGAGAACGAAACGTAGAATTATGCTGATTTAGTTTTTATACCCTCCACATACTATGGAGGTTAATATACCCTTTGTCATTCCGTTTGTAACTCCTCGAAATACTCTTGTCAGACCCAACAAAGTATATATATTCTTAACCAACGTAAAATTCTAAGTCGATTTAGCGAGGTCCGTCTGTCTATCCGTCCCCCTGTTTGGCTGTCTGTCTGTTGTAATCACGCTATCTTTTGAACGAATTGAGATAAAAGGCTAAACATTTTGCACACATGTTTACTTTTCATGTGGGCAGGTTAAGTTCGTAAATGGGCCATGTACGTCCACGTTTTCATATAGCCCCCATATAACGGTACATCCCTATATTCGGTATTTTGGCTATTTTAGCGACATTATTGACCGGAATTGTTCGTAGTGCATACTACAGCCTATGACAGAAAACTGTCTGTGGCGGCTTTATTCACCGGAATTGTTTCAAATTACGTATTTAGAGTTCGTAATGGGAACTACAGTCTGTGACAGAAAATTGTCTATGTAAGTCCAGGTCTTCGTGTAGGCCCCATATATCAGTATCTCCCTATATTCGGTATATTGACGAGTTTAGCTACAATACCCACCGAAATTGTTTGAGATGTCGTATTTGAAGTTCGTAATGGATGCTATAGCCTGTGATAGAAAATTGTCTGTGCCGGTTCACGTCTTCGTATAGCCCCCATATAACGGTACCTCCCAATATTCGATATTTTGATGATTTTAGCTAAATTACTCTCCGTTTATTTAAAGTTTCGAATTGGAATATGGTACAGAAGCCATTCTGTAGGTCCACGTCGTATAGACTCCAATATAACGTCTATAATCGGTATCTTTATAATTTTAAAAGAATTTTTTAAGTATTTTATTTTCTTTTTTTTTATAAATTTCCAAATTTGTTCCAAATGGTGGAGGGTATTCAAAGTTCGACCCGGCCGAACTTACTGCTTTTTAACTTGTTTCTACTCCCAGGAGTACTCCCGCTCGGCTTCAAGTGAGTTTCACTTTCTACTCGAATTCTAGCTGTTTTTACGGAGGTCTGGATGACATCCTCACGTTACAAAGACGATTGTTAATCAGCCAGATTTTTATTCACTATTTATCTAATTTGGATGCCAAATTGAGTTTCAGATTCTCAATATAGAAAATTACCAAAAATATCAATCAGCTCGACTTCGAGCGAGTTACGCTCTTTGGTCAACTTCGAGCTAGTTTTTTGAGGTCTGAAAGAAATGATATATTATAAACAGGTTTCTGAAGTAGTCAAATCAAATAGTATTTTGAGTTTCAGGTTCTCATTTTTTAGAATTGGTCAAAAAAATATCAGTATTTTTTAAAACACTCATAGGAGAGCCTAAAATTAACACATCATTCTTATTGTATATATGTCGTCCCTTAATTTATTGTAAGCGTTTAATATCCCCTAGAACAAGGTTTACATTTTTTGTTTTCCCAAAATTTTGCATTATTTGTTTTACATTTATCTCGTGAAGTCACCGCATTTGAAACATTTGCAATCGGTGGGCTCTCTCAAACGAATATCCATGGTGGCCATTTCGGGGGAATTCAAACGGGTGCCATCGGGATCATAACAGTGAGACAGGGTTATTATTTTCTCCTTCAAAAAACTTTCACGGCAGCAATAGCATTCCTGGAAAGAAATCATATTTTTATTAAAAGGATGAAAAGAGAGAAAAAAATAACCCCTACCTTCAAGAACCCCGTTGGCGTGATAACCGATGGCTGCACCTGACTATTACACAATCCCTCACACTTGTTCACAATCACATCGGCATTGCAGGTCCTTTGCATTCTACCCAATTCATCGAATTCCTCTTTGATTAAATGAATTTCCGATTTGATGGTTTCACAATTTTCATCTCCTGTCCCCTGGGAATAGCGCAGGGCATTGGTGAGATTTTCCACAAACAAAAGTAAATAGATGAACAAACATTGCAAGGATAATTTCCACAATTTAAGCATATCCTTGCAAATGGAAAAAATTGACTTCTAAATTATTTGTTGAGTATCCAAAGGAAATGCGATGCCCTCTAAAGGAACGTAGGATATGGACTACTTCATTGTTACTTGCTGGCAATAGCTTTTATACCATCACTCCATGTTGTAATTCCCAAAGGATTCATAATCCTTTTTAGGAATACAAAAAAAAAAAAAAAAAACAGGCAAATGTCTGTCATTTATATTTATGATTCTATTGATTGAATGTTTGTGTTTAACACAGCAGGCTTAATGAGTCCTTTTAATAAGTTATTACCATTGCCATTGAGTTATGACTGAATGGTCTGTAACATGATATAATAATGAATACTTATGTATTTGGAGGCACATTTGGATATCATGTTATGTGAAAAAAGTATTTTTTTTTTTTTTTGTGGTGTAGATGGGTGTACTAAGTAACGAATCCGAAATTTGTTGTTCATGTTTCGATAAAAGAGAAAAATGGACAAGTGGCAATATGAAGCACGAGCATTTTTCCTCAGACCATCCACAGTTGAAACCAGTAAAGAAAGTCCTAAAGTCGGGCGGGGCCGATTTTATGATACCCTACACCACTTTGCTATGGGAGAATTCAATCATACACCCTATGATTATAACTATAATTGAAAATTCAAAGGACTAAATATGCCGAAGCATTTGTATCTTTTAAGTTCGGTCTTAAATTGCCCATTTGGTGCAAAATTAATTTGAAATCAGATAAAGATATACATGGGAGATATATATCTAAATCTGAACCGATCTCGATAACATTTGGCAAAAGATATTTTTGAGCTGTATTTGATATATTTCCCTGAATATCGTTGTTACGGAGTGCATATTACGGCTGTGGGTAACAAATACAACAAATCGGATGAACAATATATATGGGAGCTATAGCTACATCTGAACCGATCTTCGCCAAATTTGGCATACTACCTTCTAGACTCAGTTCGGTCGTATGTGCCAAATTCCATCCCATTTGAACAAATATTAGACGTTTGGTGCACAATAAAAGGAAAATCGGACGAAGTTATATATGGGAGCTATATCCAAATCGGAACCGATCTCGATAAAATTTAGCAAAGGTATTTCTGAGCTGTATTTGATATATTTCCTCAAATATTGTTGTTACAGAGTGCATATTACGGCTGTGGAGGACAAAAATTACAAATCGGATGAACAATATATGTGGGAGCTATAGCTATATCTGAACCGATTTCGATCAAATTTGGCATACTTATTTTCAGACCTAATTTGGTTGTATGTGCAAAATTCCATACTATTCGGGCTGATATTACACATTTGGTGCACAATATAAGGCAAATCGGACGAAGATATATATGGGAGCTATATCTAAATTTTTACCGATTATCTCCAATTTCAATAGGGTTCGTCCTTGGGCCAAACAAATGTTTGGAAAATTTCATCTCAATCGGATAATAAATGCGACCTGCATTTTGTTCACAAGAGTACATGGACAGACGGACGGACGGACAGACATGCACAAATCAACTCAGAAAGTGATTCTATGCAGATCATCAAACGGAACTATGGGTCTATCTCGTTTCCTTTTGCCTGTTACAAACAAATGCACAAAGACATAATACCCTGACCACCTTGTGGTCTAGGGTATAAAAATAGCGATTAATAACACATATTAAACAAGTAAGCAAAAGCTATAGTCGTGCGAGGCCGACCCTACAGCACTATAATATATTGGAAAATTGTGACCTGTAGAGCCACTGCAAGAAGTCTTAATTTTTGGTCCATTTGAAGCCCTAAATACACAACTTGAAAAACAATAGGGTTTAATTCTGACCCTAACCCTCTCTTTGAGCGTCTTAAAATCTGTGTGCGGGAGGTACCAGAAGAAATCGTCCGATCTCTACCATCTTTAGAACAGATCTTGTGTTGATGGAAATATTGAGATGTACCAAGTCTATATGGAATCGGATGTTAATTGTTAAAATTACTAAAAATTTTGACCCTTTGTTGTGGAGGTACTAGAAGGGGTTTGAAGATATATGTCATCTTCACAACAAATATTGTGTTATTAAAAATGTTTTGATGTGCGAAATTTGAAGAGAAAGCGATGCTTATTTGGCTTTCTTTGAGCGTTTTGTTTTTCAAAATCTTAAACCCTGTATGGGGGATGTACCAGAAGAAATGGTCCGATCTCTACCATCTTTAGAATATATCTTGTGTTGATGGAAACATGGAGATGTACCAAGTTTGAATGCAAGCTTGTGTTAATTTCGTGTTTTAGGAGCTTTGTGATTATTAGAAAATGTTAACCCTTTGTGGGGGAAGTACCAGAAGGAATTGTCCGATCCCTCCCATCTGTACAACAGATCTTGTGTTGATATAAGTATTGAGATGTACCAAGTCTGAATGGCATCGGATATTAACTTCGCGTTTTATGAGCTTCATAAGTATTCAAAATTTTGACCCCTTGTGGGGAAGTTACCAGAAGGAATGGAGCAATATTGCCCATCTCCGAACTTGATATAAGTTTAACAATAATATTACGATGTGAGCACCAACCAGACAGGCGGACGGACTTACATCGTTACTCGACTCCAAATGTCTTGAAACGGGTTTGAAACAAAGAGACCTAGGGTCTAAAACCACTTTTTCGATGAGGCACGTTTTGGCTGTATCAAACGAGATATACCCATGTGGATATAGCCATATGGCTAGAGAGGGTATCGGAGCATTAGATAGATGGGACCCAATTTTCACCAAATTTCGTATTTGCTTCCATAATATATTCCGTTGAATGTGCAAAATTCCATCCAATTTATGCTGATATTTTACATTGGGTGCGCAATAAACGTCTAATAGGATGAAGATGTATATCGAAGCTATATCGAAATCTGAACTGATCTCGATAAAATTTAGCACAGGTATTTCTATGCTATCATCTACAACCCATCAGCTGGCCCAAAAATCGTTATTGTGGGCATATATTACGAAGGTGGATGATTTAAACATCAAATCGGATATATATGTGGGAGCTATAGCCATATCTTAACCAGCATCAGATATCCGGCAACACATATCATTGTTGGAGAGTGCATATTACGAATGTGAGCCACTTAAACACCAAATCGGATGAAAGATATATATGGATGCTATAGCTATATCTGAACCGATTTTCACAAAACTCTAAGCACAGGCTTATAGGCGGATATCTGCCGGATGTGCTTAAATCCAACCAATTGGTACGAATATTACAGCTTTGGCACATACCACAGCCACTCCACTTAATAATTGGATATCTGACCTTACAGTAACCGGTACACAGTTGGTATCACCTGCGATAATCGTCTTTGATCTGTGATATAGTACCTGCCGTCTTGAGATGGACGTCAGGAAAGTAATCCATGGTTGAATAACTTGAATTTTTAGGTTATGCGCGACCAAGTTCCTCTAGGTTGAAAATGTATGTATCCTCTTTTTACAGAAGGGGTCGATCCCTTCTATGAACATTTTTCTATTCTTTGTTCGGATATTTTGTAACAAAATCAATGTCCCGAATGAAACTCTTATTAACAGTCAAGATTTTCAAATATCTTTCGATACTAACCATAGATGTAGGATCTTTGAGAGTACATTACATATACAGACCTCATCATTTCGGGCTTATTCCTTTTGAAATTTCCTTTATGAGAAGTGTCCAATCAACACCAAACTTGGCCTTATGGTTTTTAAGGAATTTCTAGCAAGTTCCTGTGGTGTCTGCGTTTTCTTCTGGTTTGTAAGACTTAAGGTCCAATTCGGGGGTAATGGCCTGAAAAAGTAGTGTGTCTAAGCAAGAACAATTTTCTTTTTTCGTCGAGATCTCTATCCGCGTATACTATTCTTAAAAGTCGGAAAGATACCCCAACTATATATTTGAAAACCATGGTTTAAACTAAATTTGAATTTAGACTCACAACGGTCACTATTTCCCCATTAAAAGTGATAAGCATTTACGTTATATTCTAGTCTAAAGTTGATCAGACTTCTAATATCTATCAGAATGCCCCGAATGTCTTTACTTATTTGGTCTAAACAAAATATATAGATATAGAAATAAATCCATCCCACGAATCCCGAAACTTTGTGTCACCTTTTCTTTCTATACCCTCAGCAGAGGGTACATATCATTTGATACGGCCAAAACATGTCTCATCGAAATAACGGTTTTAGATTTAGATCTCTTTGGACCAAATCCGATTCAGGACATTTGGAGTCGATCTAGCGATGTCTGTCTGTTTGCTTGGAGCTAATGATAACTCTCGAAGGGAGTATCCGATTTGATCCAAAGTTGGTACATTGAAATATTATTGTCAAACTTTGATCAAGTTCGGAGATGGACAATATCGGTCCACTACTTCTGGTACGTGTGGGAGGTAATGTTAAAAATTTCAAAGAAAATAATTTATTGCACAGAAAGAGAAAGAATAATGCGATCTTGCTCCAACTTTGCGAATCCTAATATATTCATCAGTGCTAGGTCAGGTGCGAAACTGGACAATATCGCTCCACTCCATCAAGTACCTCCCCTACAAAGGGTCAAATTTTTGAACAATTACAACTCTTATAAAATTTGTTTGAATTTTTGTGAAAATTGAAGATAATCGGACTCTTATTGTCTTCAATTTTCACACATCGCAATAATTTTTTTTTAACCCAAGGTCTGGTGTTAAAATGGAATACAACGGTCCACTCCTTCTGGTACTTCCCCCACAAAAGGTCGAAATTTTCAAAACAAAAAAAAAAAAAAAATAAATAAATAAAACCAAAAAATGTAAGGGTCGAATTGTCTTAAAATTTCACACATACCAATATTTATACCCTACACCACAAGGTGGTCAGGGTATTATGTCTTTGTGCATTTGTTTGTAACAGGCAAAAGGAAACGAGATAGACCCATAGTTCCTTTTGATGATCTGCATAGAATCACATTCTGAGTCGATTTATGCATGTCCGTCCGTCCGTCTGTCCGTCCGTCCGTCTGTCCATGTATTTTTGTAAACAAAGTACAGATCGCATTTATTGCCCGATCCAGATGAAAATTTGCACAGATCATTTGTTTGGCCCAAGAACGGACCCTATTGAAATTGGAGATAATCGGTCAAAATTTAGATATAGCTCCCATATATATCTTCGTCCGATTTACCTTTTTTTGTGCACCAAACGTGTAATATCAGCCCGTATTGTATGGAATGTTGCACATACAACCAAATTGGGCCTGAAAATAAGTATGACAAATTTGATCGAAATCGGTTCCGATATAGCTATAGCTCCCATATATATTGTTCATCCGATTTGTTATTTTTGTCCTC